GGGGGGAGAGGGGCGGGGGGAGAGGGGAAGGGGGCAGGGGCAGTGGGGTGGGATTATGGGGCGGGGGGCGACGGGGCGGGGTTTCTGGGGTGGAGATTTTGGGGCGGGGAGCGGTGGGTCTGGGGGCGATTGGGCAGGGCCAATCCCCCCCTCCCCACCTTTTCGCCTGGTCCGATGGGCTCAATCCCTGGAGCAGCCTTGGGGTGTAACCTTAGGGGGAGCAGCAGGAGCTGTGACCAAATTCGGGTCCTTGAGACCCCCAGTTTGGGGGTGTCCCCCGGCTGTGGGTCCTCCTTGCCCCCCCCCCATCCTCCCCAGCAGCTGTCCCGGGCTGTCCCCTCGCTCCCGATCCAACCCCGGGAGTGATTAATGGGCGCTGGGAGCTCCTTCCCGGCCAACTGGGGTTGCTGGAGCCTCCCGGCCATCTGGAAGGGCCGCTTTGTTCCACCTGCTGATTTACGGGGACGGTCCCCTCCCTCCTCACCCCGCTCTGGGGACAAGGAGGGGGGCCCTCCCCCTGCCCAGGGCACGGCTGGCAGGGGTGGGGGTCTCCAGTCCGGGGTGTAGGGACCGTCACAGGGGTCTGGGCTGAGCCGTGTGGGGACCCAGCAGATGGCACTGCTGCCTCACCGGCGGGCTGGGGGACAGGGATGTGACACCGTGACACCCAGGGGGAAGGGGGAAAAACCAGGAGTGTCCTTTCCCCCTTCCCAAGCCAGGGGATCCCATCCTGCCTCCTTTTAGAGGGAAGAAGGGACGTGGGAGGGGGGTCAGCAGCCAAAACGAGGGGTGGGTGTCCTTCCATCTTCCAAATCATTGCTGAGTGTTTCCATTGTCAGAGGCACGAGGAGGACCATATGTCAGCAGGGCCCAGGGCTGGCAGAGGGGACAACGGGCCCCAAAGTGGTTTGGGGAGTCACTGCCACGGAGCTGGTGCTGCCCTGACCCCAAAATTCCCTCCTGGAGCTGCAGGGGGTTGGGATGGGATGAGGTTGGAGCTGGAAGGGTCGGGAGAAGAGCTGGGTTTGGGTGCAGGGAGTGGGGACACAGAGCATCCCAAGGGGAGAAATGAGCGTTTCATCAACGCCATCAGCAGGAATTGGAGTGATGGACAAAGTGGGGGGGAATGAAAGAGGGGAAATTTAGGGGGGATGTTGGGAAGAAATCGCTCCCTGGGAGGGTGGGGAGGGCCTGGCACAGCTTGCCCAGAGAAGCTGTGGCTGCCCCTGGATCCCTGGAAGCACCCAATGCCAGCTTGGAGCAGCCTGGGCTGGTGGGAGATATCCCTGCCATCGACTGGAACAAGATCTTTAAGGTCCCTTCTCCCCCAAACCGTCCCGTGCTCCTAAATCCACGAGCTGCGACCAAAAGGAGTGCCGAGATCCCCTCCCGTGCCCTCCTTTGCCCTTTCAGGCCCGTCTCGCCCTCCCTTCCCCCTCTCCCTCCCGCCTCGGTGGTTGTTTCCCTCTGGCAGCGGAGCCGAGGCCAATCGATTCGAGGAGGAAATTTGGAGCAGGTCGGGAAGCAGCTGCAGCCTCGCCCCGGGGGGACGGGCGGGACCGGCGGGGACAAAAGAGCTGGAACGGCCCGGGGGGAGCTCCGGGGAGCGGGATGAGGTGATGGGGGGAAGAAGAAGAAGCGACACGGGGTCCACATCGATATTCCAGGAGACACCACGAGGGGGGTGGGTTGTCGTGGTGTGGAGATGCTGTGGGTGGGCTGGGCGTCATCATCCCCTCTGCTGTCACCGCAGCCGGCGGTGACAAAGCCGAGCTGGGCTCCGACGGGGCTGGCACACCCAGGGAAAGGTAAAGGTGAAGGATTTTGAGTGCCGGGAGGGAGCATCGCGATCCCTCAGCGGGGGATTTCCCCTTCCCGCCGCCTCCCACGGAGCGGACAGAGATGGCGAAAATTAAAACAAAACACAGCAAAAGGGTCAGAGAACGTGAAGCTGAGCACTGCGAGTTCAAGATCTCTCTCTTGCGCTGGCGATTTAATTCGTTTCCCCCTCCCCGCCTTCCTCGTGAAGTCGTAAATGATAAATCCTTGCACAGTCCGAGCAGCCCAACACGGGGAATCCAAGGGTGGCCTGGGGGGGGGGGTTTCCCGACGCGATCTTGATGGTTTTTTTTACACTTGTTTCCTCCTTTTCCTTTACCCAAAAGTGCACAACAACACAGCAAATAAATAATAATAATAATAATAATAATAATAAATAATTAATAATAATAACATTTTTCAATAAATTAATTCAATAAATATCCTCGTGGCACAGAGACTGGTGAGTGGAGGGGAAGGGTGGGCTCATCTGCTCTGCTCTGGGGCGATGGGCGAGCCAGATCCGGGATCATCAGCTGCTCCAGCCCTCTGGGATCCAACATTCACCGACGAGTGAGACAGAGGTAGAGAACCTTCTCCCTGCTGCCATGGGGAGGGGGGGGGAAAAATGAGGTATGGAGGGAGGTGGTGCTGGGAACTGGAGGCAGAGAGGGGTGGGATGGAGCCAGGAAAGGTGTGAAATCCCGGGAATCCCAAGTGGGGCCCGCAGGGCCAAAACCCCGGGAAGGGGGGCCCGGGTGGCCCCAGGACATTTTTGATTCAGCTCTGGGAGTCTGGGGGAGTTCACTGACCCCCACATTGCAGCGATGTCACCTCTGACCTCCCAAAATCCGGGTCCCTGCCTGGCTCTGGGGATGAGGCTCGAGGAGGAGCAGCCCCATCCCATTCCCTTGGGATCCTGCCCCCCCATTCCCTGGCGCTGCTCCCGGCCTGGAACGTTGTCTCCAGTGCAAAAACGAACCCTCAAACCCACCAAACACCCCCAAAACAAGGCAAAACATTCACTCCTGACATGAGTTCTCTTTCTAGGGAGTGGAATGATGGATTTTGGGGATGTGCCACTGAGGGGCTCGGAATGACCCCCGGGTGCCCCCTCCAGCCTGGCACGGGAGGGGGGTACCTTGGAGACCCCCCCGCTGCTGCTCCAGCCTCTCTGCTCCATCTCCCAGCTGTTGGAATCCACAGAAAGCATGGCCAGATCCATCCTTTCCGTTTTTGGGGGGTGGGGAGGGGATCTTTTTAGGGTGGGAAGAGCCGGGACAGGCAGGGAAGGAGCCCTGGGGGTGCCCCGGGCTGAGGACGATCCCGGGGGGGATCTGTGGGTGCCCACACGATGCCAGGGCAGAGCAGGACGCGGGATCAGCATCGGCAGGATGGGCAGGGCTTGAGGGGGGGGACACACGGCCAGGAAGAAGCAGATGCAGCAGGACAGACGGACATCTGAGGGGCCAAACATCCCGCTGGGCTCGGGCGGGACGGGAAGACGAGACGGGCACGGGGTGGGTGAGAGGGAAATCCAGACAATAAGGGAGAGCAGATGGCCAGGGGCTCGTTTGGACAGACAGATGGACACAGCACAGCCTTCTGGGTGCCTGGCGTGGGGGGTCAGATCGTGGAGGGACAGACGGACTCGAGCTCTCGGCTCACGGGCCCGGCACGAGTTCAGGCAGGACAGACGGACACGAGCCGGGCGGCTCAGACGTCCAGCAGGTGGTGGTTCGGTTGCAGATGCAGCAGATGTGACACGTGGACAGACAGACAGACAGACAGACAGCCGCGAGCTCAGACGTCCAGCACGTGGTTCAGGTAGGAGATGTAGCAGATGGCCAAGCGCAGGATCTCGATCTTGGAGAGCTTCTTGTCGGGGGGCAGCGTGGGCAGCAGCTTCCTCAGCTCGGCGAAGGCCATGTTAAAAGCCTCCACGCGGATCCTCTCGCGCGTGGCGTGGGCTGTCCGGTACTTGGCCGTGGCGCGGCGCCGGCGCCGCCGCTCCTCGCGGCTCAGGTGCTGCAGCTCCTTCTTCACCGGCTCTCCCGGCTCCCCCGCCCGGGCCGGGGGGCACAGCCCGACCCCTCCGGCGTCCTCGGTGCTGCCCCCGCAGCCGCTGAAGGCGGATTCGGCCTCGGAGCGCGGCGGGGGAAGGTCGAGCTCCGTCTGCTCCGAGTTGAGCATCATCTCGGCGGGAGGACGGGAGGACGTGGCGGGGGAACGGGGGAGGATCGCGGCTCCGGTGGGGTTTTGCGGCTCACAGCGACCCGCCGGGGACTCTCCTCCTCGTCATCATCATCATCATCATCACCGTCACCACACACCGCGTCCGCAGGGGGATTTGGGCATTTTCCCCCGGACGGCAACTCTGGCGACAAGCGAGGAGGGGAGGACGCATAAAAAGCGAGTAAATCGCTGCGTGTCCTCCTCAGGTGTCAGAGCCGAACTCCTCACGGGTGCTCTGGAAAACACAAGCAGGGGGTGGGGGGGGGGAGGATGTCGGGTCTCATTCCAGGGGTCGGGGCTCATTCCAGGGGTCGGGGCTCATTCCACGGCTCCCTGGGAGCTGCAGGAGGAGCGGGCGGGGAGCGCTCCCGGAAAAAAAAGTGGGAGCCGTTTCTCCCGGCTCTCCGGAGGGATGGCAGGTGGTGGATGAGGGGAAGGGGAAAACCAGCCCGCAGGGGGGCTCGGGGAAGGGGGAGAGGGGGGGTTCATTGTGCACTAAATGAGCCCGTATGTCACGGATCCTGCCACCCCCCCGACATATGGAACCCTTCGCAGCTGCTCGGCTTGGTGTGGCCAAGAAGAGACGGCGGCCCCGGAGCTCCCTCCGGGACGCTGCTCCGGGAATTCTGCCGCTGCTTCCCCCTCCTCCTCCTTCCCTGTGCCCGCACAGACCCCTCCAGCACGTCGGGAAAAGCAGGTCCTGCTGCGGGAGAATCTTCCTGCTCTGGGCAGGGGAAAGGGGAGGGACAAACTCGGGATGGACAAGCCGTGACCTCTCTCGGGGGGGGGGGGGGGAAACTTGTGCTGAGAAACAGAACAAACTCAACAGGGACAGGGGAGAAATAAACCCCTACCCTGCTTGAAAAGTCTCGCAGGAGGTGAGTTGGCAGCAGCAGCGCCCAAAGTGGGAATTCCACCCCCCGGCTCCATCCCTTCAGCGCGGGGAAGGAGACAAACCACGGCCTCCCAGGGCACCCCATCCATCCCTGGGACACCAGCACCGAGGAAGGAGCAGGACACTCCACCCTGAAAGCTCCGTGGGCAGGCAGGGAGGGTGACCTGGAGCAGGGACAGCGTGGGAATCACCACCAGTGGGGACGTGTCGCCGTCCCCGGCTCTGCATCTTCAGGAGGGAATCGAAGGTGCATCAAACACCCCGAAAAAGGCCCTCCTGGGGGGGCTCAGGATGTTGGCAGGAGACACCAGACTCATGAAGCCCAGCTGGACTCAAATAAACTCCTTCTCCCTCTCCTCCTTCGCTGGGTCAGTCCAGTCCTACCCAAGCTTTTCCTCTGCGTGGGAGATTCGTGCTCCAAGTGGCTCTTTCAGCTTCTCTCCTTTGGATAAGCTGCAAATTGTCACCTTCCCAAATTCACCTACTGCAAGAACTTCTTTTTAACCCACACTTGCTGCAGCCCTGCCTTCAGCAAACCCCCCCCACACCCAGTGCTCAGACCCCTGAGGGGCAGTAACACATCCCACCTCCCCTCTTACCCTTTTCCTTCCACTCCCGACAATTTTCCCGACAATTTTCTTTGGAAACTCCCCTGCCACCCCCCCCAAAGTGTGTCTGGGACCCCCTTTCGGGCCACCTGGATGGAGGTTCCTTTCCCTTTTCCCTGCTCTGAATCCTCCCGTGCCAGTGCCAGGCAGGTTTGGGTGCTAAACCCAGGTCAAGCCCTTTCCCAGGAGTCCAGGGCCACCTTCCTTCCCACATGGATTATCCAGTTTAACTCTCCATCCCTCTCCCATTCCAGAGCCACCCACCCCCCGGGGACAGCCCCCTTACCCCCAATCCAACGACCATTCCCGAGCTCCAGCTCTCCTCTTCCAGCGGGACGAAGCTCAAATAATCCGAGGAGGGAGGAACCCCCTCGGCTCATCCATCCATCGAGGAGGGAGAAAAGTTTCCCCGGGTCTCTCTCCCCTGCTCCGTGGGCTGGATTTGGGGGGTGGGGGGGAGGAAATCAAGGAGAATCCCGGCAGCCTCCTCGGGGCCCAGGCATGGCCCCGCGTGGGCAGGAACGTGGCTTTGGAGCCTCCGAGGGGGGCATGTTCCCCAAACCCCTATTTATCCAGCCCGGCCTCGCCCGCCGGGCCCGACCCCGAGTGTCTCATTGGCCGCTCGGCCGCTCCCCCCTCATCAATATTAAAAGCGGGAGAGGGGCTGTCATTGGCTGCGCGGGACGTGGGAGCCCCACGGGACACGAGGGAGGTGGAGGTTGGATGCGGTCCGGGAGGGTGGATGGGGTGATGGGCTTGGAGGGAGGGAGGGAGGGAGGGAGGAGGGTGCGGGTGCTCCGGGGAGAAGGCGACATCTGTTCCCCCTTGCATATTTTATAAAGGGGGATGGAGAGAAGGGGACGGGACGTGGGCAAGGGAGGGCAGGAGCAGCGCCGGGACAAGAGGGCACCCCGTTCCCGCTGGATCCCACCCGTGTGCGGCCGTGTGCGTGTCCGTGTCTGTGGAGCTCCCCGAGGATGCTGTGGGGTGGCTGAGCCCGGGGGGGGGGGGGGGGGGGGGGGGGGGGGGGTGCTGATCCCGCTGGAAAATCCACCTGAGTGAAGTTTGGTGAGGAAAGCGAGGGAAAGGGGAGCCCAGAGGACACGGGAACTTGCTTTGAGACACTTGGAGCAGGGAGATAACAATCCTTCGGGGGTCGGCCCCGGCCTCTGCCTCTCACCCTGCTCGAATCCTCCCCATCAAAACTCCTCCTTGAGAAAAATCCCCCGCGCTTCATCCTCACCCCCACCTCGTCCGGGGGAGTCCTTCCCCACCTCCCCAACGCCTTCTCCGGACTCTCCCACCTTTGTCTTCTCGCTGTGGTCACCCTCCCCTCCCGCCATCGCCGGGCACAGCAGGCGAAGCCCAGGTGATGGGCACGGGCACCTGGGTGGGCTCCAGCGCCTGGCACGGCTCGGCAGATGGTCCCGGAGTTTGCCGAGGCGGAGGGATCAGGTGGCGGCTCCGGAGCCTCCTCGCCATTGCTATGGCACCGATTAGGAAACAATATTCCCTTAATGAGCTCGTGGCGAAACGGGAGGGTCCGCCCCCCCCCTCCTTTCCCCATCTCCCCCCTCCCTGCGAGCCCGAGGCGCTCCTGGATCCCGCCTGGATCCCCCGCGCGTCCCGCATCCATCGCATCCATCACCCGCACGCAAATCACCGCTCTCCACCGGGAAAACACACACACACACACACACACACACACACACACACATCCCAAATCCTCCGAGCCTTCCCAAAAACCATCCCACCCTAAATATCTCCCCCCCCTTCCCCACCATCTCCTCCCTTTCTCCTTCCCGGGGCTGCTCCCCGGAGGACGCTGATGGGTTGTTGGTGTTTATTCCCTGCCCACCCCGGGCCCGGCTCTGCTCCCCCTGCCAGGCGGCCAGCAGGGTCCTCCTTCCCCCCCCTCCCCATCATCCCTCCCCTGTCTCCGCAGCTGATCCCGGGCTGCTCCGGGCATCCTGCCGGGAAGAGAGAGGGGGGGAAGGATTTTGGAGCTGCTTCCAGAGCTTTCCCACTGGGAGGGATATCGAGCTCGGTATTAACGGGAAGGTTTCAGCTCCCTCTGACTCGTCTCCAGTCAAGTGAGTTTTGGTTTGGTTTTTTTTTTTTTTTTTTTTTTTCCAAGGATGGGGAGTCCACAGCGAGGAATCCTTGGAAAATATTCCTCTGTTTTACCCTCTGGCTTTGTCCTTCGCTCCTGAGGATTCCTGTTTGGGAAAAAAAAAAAAAAAATGGTTTTCCACGTCGAAACCAACCCGGTTTCTCACCTGGCAGGAACCCCTAAACTGGAATATTCAGAAATCCCTCATTCCTTGGGATTCCTGGGCCTCCCTCTCAACACATGGGGGCAAGAAGGAAGAGGTTGCTGAGGGAAGCACAGCCAAGGATTTAAAAGCTGCCTCTGCTTTGAGCTTCACCTGGGAGGTTGAGGGACTCAGGTGGGTCCTTTGTGGGCTGAAGCCCCCCCAGGGTTTGTCCACCTTGACCCGGGTGTGGAGTGCCAGGAAAAGTGGGAATGGCTTCAAGCTGCCAGAGCAGAGGCTTCAAGTGGATTTTAGGGGAGAAATCCTTCCCTGGGAGGGTGGTGGCACAAGTTGTGGACGCTCCACCCCTGCAAGCCTCCAGGTAGGAACAACCTGGCCCAGTGGAAAGCGTCCCTTGGCCCAGGGATTGGAACAAAATGCTCTTTAAAGTCCCATTCCGACCCAAGCCCAAGTTTTGGGACTCCCCCAAGGCTCAGGGATCAGCTGCAAGGGGCTGGGGGTGGGGGTGGGGGGGACCCTGAGCAGCTCCTGTGTGTGCTGGGAAAGAGGTTTGGAAAGAGGCTGGAAGAGGCAGCATTTGGCAGGAGATGAGGTGACATATTGTACAGAGCCACTGGGGACCCCTGGGCCTTGTCTGGGAAGACAGGCAGCTTTAACCCTTCAGCTGCTGGAGCAGAGCAGGGCCCAGGGGCCGGGATTGGATGTGGGGAAGGGGCTGCTCTTCCAGCCTACAGGTGGGGTGGGACACCTGGATGGAGATCAGCTCAGGGAACCAGGAAAAAATCAACTCCCTGGGGGCTCTGCAGAGCTGCCCCTGCTCTGGTGCTTTCCCAAGCTGGGGGACACACACACAATTCCCAGCTTTCCAGCCTGGGAAGTCTGGAACGTCATGCCTGGAGGTGCCCAGGGAAGGACTGGTGGTGGCAGTGGGTGACAAGGTGGGGATGGAGCACAGGGTGGGCTTTTCCAACCTCAGGGAGCCTGGGATTCTGTGGAGAAGCACCAGCACAGCCTGTAAACCTTCACTTGGGGGATGATCCACTGTCAATCACAGAATGTCAGAACGGTTTGGGTGGGAAGGGACCTTAAATCTCACCTCGTTCCACCTCCCATAGACCAGATCGCTCCCACCTGGCCTTGGACACTTCCAGGGATCCAGGGGCAGCCACAGCTTCTCTGCCCAACCTGTGCCACCCTCCCAGGGAGCAACTTCTTCCCAGTATCCAATTTCAACCTCTGATTCCCCCCCCTTCAGTGTGAACCCACCCCCCTCGTCCTGTCACTCCAGGCCCTTCTCCAAAGTCTCTCTGGTGCCTCTTGGAGCCCCTTCAGGTCCTGAACCCCCCAATGAGGCCACCCCAGAGCAGGGAAGGGCCTGGGGGCTGTTGGGGGCCATTCTGGGGGCATTTGGGGGTGCCATTCACGTGTTCCCACGTGTGTTGCCCTGCCTTCAGATGGGCTGCTGGGTGCCTGAGGAAGGTGTGAGTGCACACCCAGGCGTAGTTACTCCTCCCAGGAAGCTCCTGGAGGGCAGGGAGGGAGCCCTGAGCTCTGGGAGCCCCCTTTTGTCTTTTTTTTTTTTTTGTGTGCCAGGGCAGGTTTTTTGTCGGTGACAGACGGCCCCGGTGCTCCATAACCACACAATCTGTCACCACCACCCCTGACAGCTTTCACGAGGAGCCCCCTTCCCTTTTCTCTCCCCTTTCATCCTGCCCTGTTCCCTGCTCCTCTTCTCTTCCCCCCTTTCCCCTGGCTTTGTTCCCCTCCCTAAAAAGCCAAATAGCGACAGAAGCTCCTGATCATAATATTGCTCTAATCGAGTCTGTCATAATCAGATCCAATCTAATTACGCCCAGATCCCTCTCTCTCTCCTCCCCACTCTCTCTATTGCTTGTCCATCTGTCCCCCCCCTCTTCCCTTCCAGTCTTTGTGTCCATCCATCTGTTATCTGCAGGCCTTTCTCCCTTCCCAGCCTTGTCCCTGGGCCCCTGCCCCATTCACAGCGTGGCCACCCCGGCCCTTTTCCTCCAGCGGCTCCGTCTCTCCAATCCATCTCCCTTAAAGGCCTCTCCATCAATCCATTTAGAGCAGCTCCTGCCTCCTCCAGCCCATCTGCTTCTGCCTTTCTGCTGCCTGGGAGCTGGGGAGATGCTGTTTTTGTTCCTGATGTCGATCTTGATTAGCCCCCCCCCCCCCCAGAACCTCTGCTGGCGCCAGGGAAGCATCACCTGGGCGGCAGAAACCTCCTAAAAACCATCTCCCACCCCCTTCCTCCTCCTCCCCCTGCTCTTCCTCGGCTCAGCCAGGTGGAGAACAGAGGTTGGAGGGCACAGGGCGAGGCTGCACAGGAAGGACGAGCCGGGTTTGTCCCCAAATCACCTCCCTGTGTCCCCAACCGGGTTCTTTTTCTCCAGGGAGGGGGAAGAGATGGACCCTGGGCAGGCTCCAAGCTGGCAATTCCTCTGCTCCTATTTGTAGCAGTTCAGCCCCTGATTTCAAACACATGTTGGACTCAGATTCCTGCTGGGTGCCAGCCAAGGCCCTGGCTCGCTCCTCTCCTGCTCCTGAGCTGCCTTTGTTCCTCCTGCTGGACCTTGTGCTGCTCCCAGACAGCCCCCACAGCACCTTGAACCCTCCAACATCCCCAGCTCAGCTGTTCCCAGGGC